CTACCTAGGTAAAATATGATTCCCCATTCAGTGTAGGTAAGCCAAAAATACTGATCAATAAACTATTTCATAAGTGAAAAAAATCATTTTCTTCATGATCTCTACCAAAATTCAAGGCATGTCTGGCTAGTGGTCTACTTGTTAGTATTGGCAAATGCCATGATATAATTCTTCTTTATACTGGGGATTGAACTCAGGACCTTGTGCTTGCAAGGCAGGAGGCGGCACCACTTAGTTAAATCCCCGGCCCGCCATGATATAATTTTCACTCTATCATAACTCAAAACAGTGTAAGTCCATCATAGCAATAATTATATTTAGCTAGAGTATAAAATAGGATTGATGACATGGTATGATATGTCAAACAAAAGTTCATTAAAAACAGGAAGGAGGAAGAGAAAGAGAAAGAAGAGGAAGAGGAAGAGGAGGAGGAAAAGGAAGAAGAGGAGGAAGAGAAATAGTATCTATAGTGACAAAACTAGATTTTTCAGAACTATGATAGTATTATAGCTCACATAATCCAAAATTTTCCAAAAAATCTCTAGTATCTCTAGTATTAGTATTTTACTTGTATATGTGTACATACACACTATATAATGCTCAATCATCCCTGTAATTTACTCTCTCCACTTCTGCTCCAAGGTAATAGAACACTGAAGGAAAAAGATAAAGCACAAGGTACACCTGGCCACTTGAAATTCATCATATTCAATTCAGCTTGTATTTCCTTGCAGGTTCCCTGCAGTAGTGTGCTCAATATCTTTAAGCCTCAATTCTACTTTGCCATCTAATGCCCTCACTTGCAGTAACCTCACCTTAATGAAAACCTAAGACTGCTTCATGTGGGGCCCTTCATATAGTGCCGTCTTTACTAAATCACTTGCCCCACGAGAAAGGATGCTCTGGTAAAATGAACATAAGATCTAGAGCCATGTGTTTAAGTGTAAGTTCCACTATTACAGCTGTGTGACCAAGGGCAATCACTTACTCCTTCTCAGTTTCCACATCTGTGAAATGAAAATAAGTCAATACCAAATTGTTTCATATGCTGCATATGTCGAAAGTGTTTCATAAACTTGGAAGATCAATGCCAACATTACCTATTCCCCTAAGATTTTCTAAAATCCTTAAAGAAAATCACTTCACCTATATAAACTCTAATTCCTCCCCCTCCACCACTGTTTAATGTTGCTCCTCCTCTGCTGGCACATTCAGTCACTCCTTTTGAAAGGCCCTTTTCCTTTTGCTCCCAAATATCTTTCTGAATTCTGTCTTCAAAAAAAAAAAAACCAAACAACTCCCCCCAAAAAGCCTTTCCTTAATTTACTTCTTATAGACAGTACTTAACTGCAAGGGACTGTAATATTGATTATACCCAAAGCAGGCTGTGAAGAGTTAGCCCCACGACTGGCTTGTATTGAGAAGTGAAGCTGGCTGAAGCCTACATGCCGAGGTCAGAGTAACACACACCCAAATTCTGTTCCCATAACTAAATCCTGACTAGAAGGGCAATGTTCTAATTACAACCATATATTTTGTCTATTCTGTTCTTAATTCGAGAATGCTGTCTTGTCCTTTGTGAGCCTTGTTTACACTAACTTCCATAGAAACTGCATGTAGCTTGCCTTTATTCCTAATTGATTGCCAATAAAAGTCAGTGTCCAGGATTGGCCAGGGCCTTTGTCGGTTGCACCGGCATTGGTTGTCCTGGCACCCCGCTTTCTCTCTCTTAGTTCTGTCTCTATTTATTTCTCAGGCCTGCATCTTACACTGGGCAGGGTACTGGAACCTAACTGCAGGGTTCTCCAATATTTAACCATACTTCTTCCTTTTACAACCAAACACTATGATTGTGTAAGTCTGTTCATCGGCAGAACTACTTCTTTGACAAGGCTCTATCATCTGGCTTCTACTCCCAGCTCACTGATAAGCAGTCATCTAAAAAGGCTCTAAAGGACAACTTCTTGCTAAATGCAGTTATCTTCTCTTCAGTCTTCCTCTTTCTTGATCTTCCTCTACTATGGGCATGACCCTGGAATGATACTGACCTGAAGGCTTTCCTTCTGTCTTCTGTAGGAGGCCATATTGCCCCATTTCCCCTTGTACCTCTATGTGCCTTTCCTGTTTCCTCTTCTTTTTCCTCTCCTTTGCATGAATGTCCACACCAAGGTCATGTGCTATGGTTTGGATAAGTGTCCCCCAAAGGCCTATGCATTAAAGGCTTGGCCATCACTATTGGGAAGTAGTGAAATCTTCAAGCTCTCTGGGAGGCTGAGGCAGGAAGACCACAGGTTTGAGTTCAGCCAACTTAGTGACTTAGCCAGACCCCATCTCAAAAATAAAAAGTAAAACAAAGGATGGTGATGTAGGTCAGTGAAGGCCCTGGTTCAATCTCCAATATGGGATGGAGAGGAAGGGTGCTCAAGGGAGGAAGTTAGGGCGCTGGGGGAGGGGCATGCCTTTGAAGGGAATATTGGGTCCCCCAACCCCTTTCTCTCTTTCACTTCATTTTCCAGCCACCCTAAGGTAGCACCTTTGGTCCACCACGTGCTACCATCATGATGTGCTGCCTCACCACAAGTCCAAAAGCCAAGTGGTCAAATGACCACGAACTGAAACACCCAAAACTGTGAGCCAAAATCAACTTGCCCTCTTTTAAGTTGATTACCTCAGTTATTTTGTTAACAGTCACATAACACTGGCCCACATATCATGCGTGTCTAGCTTTTGATTTTCACAGCTTCAACTACTTTCCCTATCCTGAAATTCTCATTTGCACTTCAGACCTGCCATCTACTTACAGGACATCCCTGATAAAACACTCAAGAGTCTCAGCTTCACTTTCAGCTAAACACACTCAAGTCAATCTTTCCTAAGTTAGTTATTTAGTTAGTTTCTTTCTTTGTTGTTGTTGTTGTTTTGCAGTCCAGGGGATGGGCCCTAGGGCCTTGTACAAGCTAGGCAAGCACTCTACCTCTGAGCTGCACCCATACCCTCTATCATTTTCTACCCAGACTATCTCCCTTTGAATATTTTTTATTCTAAAATGCAAAGATATCTTTTATTCACGTCCTTCACCCCAAGATCTCTTAACTCACTACAACCAGCCACCTTTGTTTAAGCACCTCACACCTGCTTTATTAAGAGCAAAACCTTCCCTCTTCCTTCTATAATCTTTTTGCTGCTTCTAGATTGATCTTCCCAAAATATCATTTAATCATATCTTTATCATTTTAATTATGTAAGAACCTGTGATGGCTCCCCTTCACCAATCCTAGGCCAAATCTTATATCAATAGTTGACACATTTTATCTGTAAGGGACCACAGAGTAAACATTTTCGGCTCTGCAGACCTACACTATCACATCTACACAACTCTACCACTGCAGTAAGTAATAAAAACATATAAATGAACAGTAATGTATATATTCCACTAAAAATTTATTTACAAAAACAAGTAGCTAGCCAGATTTGGCTGATGAGTCACAGTTTGCCAACTCCTACTCTAGATCCACCTCATATACTCGATTTTTATGTTCTACCATAGATTTTTCCCTGTCATTAATTCTATAAACATTTATTAAGCATTTACTTTATATATAGGTGCTGTCCTAAGTGGCTAGAAATAGAGCAGTACAGTTGGTTCTAGAATTATGGAGCTCTCAGCCAAACATGGAAGAAAAACATAAGACAAATAATTTTAAAAGTGCTGAATATTATTTTTTAAAAGGTCTTATGGGAGCATACAATAGGAAGCAATAACTTAGTTCAGAGATCACAAAAGACAGTGCTAACCATGAGCTAAGATTAAGTGCAGAAGATCACAGAGCTTTCCTGACAGAGACAATAGCAGAGGCCGGAGACGACTTGGGAAGCTGCTACAGCATCTAGTCCAGGAACACATGCAGTTTAGATGGGAAAGCAGCAACAGGGAAATAAAAAGGAAGAGAGTAAAGAGAATTTGAAGGTTGAATCAACAGGATTTGGTGAGGCAACACAAATGAAGGGAGAAAGGTGACGGAAAGGCAACACCTTGGTTTCCGGCTGCAGAAACAAGGTGAGCTATAGTGGACTTGCTTCCCTGAGCTAGGAACCTGAGACCAGATTACATAGGCATGTTCTTAGTTCTGACTTCAGTTCATCTTGTTTCCCCCAAATCCTTATGAAATCCTCCGGGGCCTCTCTAGAGCATTCTTATCTCTGTGCTCTCTAATTTATGCCAACTTTTATTTATTTATTTATTTTTTTATTTTTTGTTTGTTTGTTTTTGGTACCGGGGATCGAACTCGGGTCCTTGCGATCGCGCAGCAGGCAGCGAAACCACTGAGCTAAATCCCTGGCCCTATCCCAACTTTTAATTCTCATCATATAGGTCAATGTTTAAACTGTTCTCTCTGATAGTCACAAACATGCCGGTTTTACCTTTCAAACAATAGCATAAACTGTGAAAGAAGAAATCTTTTATACTTCCTTCATTCACTTTTTGTTCCTATCAAACTGTAGAGAAAGCAGATGTTCAATGATGTGTTTCCTAATAAATATACAGATACATATGTAAATAGCATTAATACAGATATGTTCACATTCATATGTTTATACACACGAATAAATCGTTAATTATTACTCCAAAGGAGATGGAATTAAGAAATTATAAAGGGTTATAGAGCTGACAGTGATCAGTTTTTACCATGTTAACCATTAAAGCCTTAAATAAAATTAAATATTCTGTCTCCAAAGGCTTATGATAGTAAAATAGATTTCTTTGACACAATATTCTATTAACGATAAGTCAGAAAAAAAGATGTTATGATACAAGACTTTATGAAAGACCCACCATCATATTAGAACTTACCAGTAGAAAGTGAACAACATCTCCTCTGCAGAAAGCAAGCATGGGGTTCACATAATTATGCACTGCTACAAAATGCCAGGCCAGCAATGGAACACTGGAAGGATCCATCTAAAAGAGAATGAAGAAGGAAAGAAACCTCATCACAGTAACAGAAGGACAAAGCAAAAACTGTTCAGAAACAGCTTATGACTCGTGCTCCTTGATAAAACCTTTCCCAGTTTCTCCTAAAGATTCCAACAAAGCAAGGACTGACTGGAAAGTGTCATAAGAGAACTTTCTAGGTTGTTGGCAACACTCTGTATCTCGATAAGGGTTTGGGCTACAAAACTATTAGCATCTGCCAAAGTTCAGTAAATTTACACTCAAGATTTGTGCGTTTTTTGTATATAAATTTTACACCAAAGAAACACTAAACTGTAGATGATGATATGCATGCTGAACATTTAGGGAAATAAAGCATTCATTTCTGCAACTTATTCTAATACACAAAAATCTAAAATATGTAGTCTGATGAATGGATGAAGAGATGAACAGATGCACACACATGTAATAAGAAAGTACCATAAAATGGTAATAGTAGAATTTAGATGGCAGATATGTAATGAAAACATCCTTTTGACTTCTCTATTTGTTTGAAAATGTTCCTAAAAAATGTTTAGAAAAAATACTAGTAAAACATATGAAAAGATGTAAATACACTACCATGAAAAACACCTCAATTAGCCAATGAAGCTAAACCAGAAGATGTTAGTGGAAATCTAAGCCAGCTTTGCCATTTAAAGGACACAAATGCTTTTTCCTTGTGCCCAAAGATTCACAGGGTACCAATAAGAAAACAAGAATGATCTCTCTGCTTTCTGGAATAGCCCAAGTTATGTACCACCACCCTCGATGCCATCCCACCAGTACCTTTCCTCATACACAGAAAAGAAAAATCACAGCTCTCTAAAAATGACCAAGAAGAAGAGAAAGGGGACCCTGGGGTCTGAATAACACAGTTGCCCTTGGTATCATCTTGAGTATCAAAATCTATAATGCTCAAGTCCCTTAATAAAATGGCATAGTACTTGCATATAACCTACACACATCCTCCTGAACACTTTAAATCATCCAGACTACTTATGATACCTAATATAATATAAATTAAGCATAAATAGTTCTACTACGTTGGTTAGAATGATAACAATTAAGTCTGCACATGTTCAGTTATAGATGGAATTTTTGGTTTGGGTTTGGAGTTGATTCGGTAGTACTCTGTAGTACTGGAGATTGAATCCAGGGCCTTTGAACTGAACTACATCCCCAGCCCTTTTCATTCATTTATTTATTTATTTATTTTGACACAGAGTATCACTGAGTCACTGAGTTGCCTAGGCTAGCCTTGAACTTGCTATCTTCCTGGGTTTTTTTCTAAATATTTTTGATGTATCATTGGTTGAATCCACGAAAGCAAAAACTACAGAGAGAGCTAGGGGCAAATGTACATTCTGAGAAATATCAGAGGCAGAAGCCAAGGAAAGCCTATATAGTAGCAATATGTATTGGATAGGATAGTGAGGTGTACTCGATCAGTAGTTCAGTGTCACCGCCACAGAGAGTATAATCTGCCTCAGCATGGCCATCATACAAAAACAAATGTCCTTTAAACATTGAAAATCGAGGCTGGAACTCAATACATCATCTTATCCTTCAGCTTTAAATTCAGTAAGGGAATATTACTGCCCACAAGGGAGCAAAGATGAGGCAAGGAAAACCATGAATGAGGTTAGGTATGTCCACAAAGCACCAAGATGCAATACACAGAGACTGTCAAATTAAGGTTAAAAACAGCAGTCAGACATATGCTTAAAGTAATAAAGGGAGAAAAGTAAAAGATCTCATGACTCAGACATCAGCTTACCCTGGTTTGGTCAACTTAAGGTAAGTCTAAACAATCATCACCGGAATACACTACTGACTTCCATTCTGCCTAGATTTCTGACAGTCTCATAGAATTTGCCCTTACAAGTCACTTTCCCCAACCTCCTGACGCAGTCCTTTCCTTTGTCTGCTAACAAGATGGAGAAGCATACTCACGCGTCCATAAGGAAAAGTCATCCACACTTTCAAGGATGGTTTCAATCCAATGACCAGTATCTTTAGGGAAAAAAATACTATATTCAGTATTTACCTTGTAATTTTCAAATTGTTTGTGCTCAGAGCCCCTAAGAGTTATGAGTGTCATCCTCTAAATACGCCTACCTTTGTTAAGGATGCCATGGCCAATAATGAGAACTGTGTGATGGGATGATCTTTCAATTCAGGCTTAGAATGTAGAGGCTCAATACAGCACACTTCTCCCTTGGAACCACTGAACAGACATCTAGATTCACAAGTTCTCACTCCCATCACTCTCCTGGAAATGTAACCAGACATTCCAAATCACTCAGCGATGATTTCAGGCATTAACATCACCAGCTTGTCTGCCCTACACCAGCCTCCCAGTTCCTACTCCTGTCTCTAACAACCCAAACTCCACATCGCAGCAGTGTGACCTTTCTACTATATGGGTCCCATCTACCAATCTTCTACTAAAAACCTTCCACTGGCAGAAAATGTCAGTGTACATAAAATGAAATCCAAACTCTTTATCTACATCTTGAAAGGTCCTGCGTGATCTGGCTCTTGCCTTCACTCCTCTCCCACTGCTGTCACTTCTGATGGACTCCAGGGGCCAAACTTATGTCCACCCAAAGCCTTTGTATTCAAATGCTCCTCAGCCTGGGACACTTCCTCCACATCTCTGCACTTCTTGGCCAGCTCATCATTCAGGTCTTTCTTCAAACGTTATCTCTTGAGAGAGGCCCTCCTGAGTTATCCTGAAATGTGTTCCAGGACACTGACCTGTCTTAGTTTCTTCACTGCACTCACACCTATCTGAAATTATTTCGCTTACATGTTGGTTTATTTCCTGTCTCCCTACCCTCACCCCAACTAGAATGTAAGTTCTTATAGAGTAGGAATGTTGCCTAATTCGTAGCTGTAACTCTGGTATCTGCACATACACCTACTCATAGGATATGCATCAGTAAACATTAGGTGACTAAGTAGTGTATTTTTTCAGCAATTACTTTGAGCTCAGTATTTAGAAAGCTATGAGAAATTCAAGAAATAAAGATAGGCATTAGCCTTGAAAGAATTTGAAATATAATACACACTGAATATTATGTTTGCCCCTTTTTTAAAAAACCTCAGCCTCACATATGTTTCTCCATATATTCAAACAGTCTTTTACTCTTATTTAAAAGTTATCAAGGCAATTCTAAGGCAATAAAAACCTTTTCACACCTGGCCATTATGGTTATAATCAACTTGGCCTGGGGCCTAAACCAAATTAGTGAGCTACTCCAAAATAGCAGTCCCTAAGCTTAACAGCACATGAGAACTCTCTGGGGAGTATGTTTCTAGAAGTCTGACTCAGACCTGAGATAAAATGGGGAACCAGGCCTGGAACTCCACATGGTCTGCCAGCCTCCCCAGGTAATTATAATACACAACCATAACCTATTTTCAATCACATCCACTTTCCAGACCTCTTCATGTTCAATTTCAAATCATTAAACCAGAGCAAGTCTTTCCATTTGTCAACAAATGTCCATTAGTTTCTTACTTAAATGTCAATTCAAAAACAGAGCCTCCGCTGTCATTGCAAATTGCAAGAGTTGGATCATCTGTAAACTAAACAGAGACAGAATTTACTTTTCTTGTAGATTTTTAAACAACCAGTCAAGTGTTAAGTTCCCTACAACACACATATTTAGCATCTGAAATAGCCTAAACAAGATTTAGCTCATCTCTTCAACATACAAAATAATCCTTATTTAGGATAAAAATGGCTCAGTATCTTCTTTAAAAAATGAGGCTTTCAAAAAGTAAAACCTTGCATCAGAATAAAATAAAAATACAAACTAGGGCCGGGAATTTAGCTCAGTGGTTTCGCTGCCCTGCTGTGCAAGTACAAGGACCTGAGTTCGATCCCCAGTACCAAAAAAAAAAAAAAAAAATACAAACTATAGTTGCTAAAAACCCTGAAGTTTTCTACTCGGGTCCTTACATTAAGATTTTCTAACTTGTTATTAAACAAACAGGGTCATTTGGATATGCTTGCAGTTGCCTTGTTTTCAGAATAAGGTCACAGTAAACGTCACTTGGTATCACCGGGAAATAAACCTGTCTGAATAAGTTTTCTGAATAGCTGAAGAGTTAATACACAAATATAAAACATCTTTGTAACTTTTTATATAACTTTTCCTGAAATCTGCTGCCCTTGATCTTCTTCAACAGATTATATTTCAATTATTATTACCTAACCTGAAAAACTCAGAATAAATATCCACAATGACAGATATGAGGTGTGATAAATGTTACAGGACACAAAATGAAAACACATATCATTTATAATGACTAGTCTCCCCAACCCCAAAGGTTTGTATTCAGCGGTGGTTAAAATACAGGAGGTAAAATCTTCTTCCTTGATCCTAGAAGAGCAGTTGCCTAGGCGCATGCATGTGATGATCCACAGGAGTGCAGGAAAAATAGGAGAACTTGTTTTTCTGTTTAATTTTCTACTTCTTTTTTTCTCATTAAGTTTATTGGTACATTTTGGGTATACAATACAGTTACATGCATCATTGGGATCTTGTACCATTACATGAGTCTCTTCGTTCTTATGTTTTTTTCCCCTTCCCCTGCCCTCCCTTCACCCCCTCCACCCTTCCCTATTTGCAAGACTTTGTTTCCATTTTTTCCTTTTCTCATATTTTTCCCTTCTTTCCTTTCCCCTGCCCCTCTCACTTTCCTTGCTCCTTTAGACCTTTTTTCCTATTACACAATATCAATTATACATTTTTTAAAAATTATAATATCAAGATTTAGAGGACATTACCACAGATTTTACAGAATTTAAAAGGATATAGAAAGCATATTACAAAAATCTTTTTTGAAATAAATGTGACAACTTCTATGAAGTATCTTGGAAGACAAATTAAAGAAACTGACTCTGGAGGAAATATAAAATTTGAATAGCACCTATTAAAGAAAGTATATTCCTAGCTTGAAAACCTACCTATATGACAACAACAGGCTCATATACATTTTAATAATTTTCTACTTCTTGTGTATATGTTTTATAATATGCTTAAAATTAGTACAATAGTTCATTTATATAATTACACACATGTACAAAGACACACACACACACACACACACACACACACACACACACATATACAAAGTATGTAAGTCCAAACTGTTATTGATGGGATGTAGGGTAAAATTTTGAGGAAATGAAGAAGGAAAGGAGGATAGAAAGAGTTAAGATGGGTGAGGTACATGTGCCAACTCCCCACAATGAATGTATTTATTATGTACTGCAAACACATACTAATAAAAAAAAGATTCAATAGAACTTTTAAAAAATACTGAAGTGGGCCAGGGATTTAGCTCAGTGGTACCACCGCCTGCCTTGCAAGCCCAAGGTCCTGAGTTTGATCCCAGTACAAAAAATAAATAAATAAACAAACAAACAAACAAATACTGAAGTACAAGTGGCCCAGTCAATCCAAGACTTCAGAAGTGTTCAATCACATCTATCTCCTCTCTAATGTCAGCGTCTGCACACAATACTTTCATCACTGTTCCCAAACACTATGCTTTTAATCTCAAATGCATCTTTCTCTTTTCTCTCTACCTTTATCATTTATTATTTCTCCCAATAATTTCATCTTTTTGCAAATGCACTGGCCATTTATAAACACCACCAACTAGTTATTCTTTCAATCAAGCATTTACTGAACAGTTACTATGGGTAAAACACAAAAATAAATGATAGATTCTTATTTCAAAGATCTTAATTAAGAGAGATAAGGGCCCAGGGATTTAGTTCAGTGGTTCTGCTACCTGCCTCACAGGCGCAAGGTCCTGAGTTTGATCCCCGGAACCAAAAAAAAAAGAGAGAGAGATAAGACATATACATAAACAACTATAATATATTAGAAGTTGGTACATGCTCTACTAAAAGAGGTCAAGATAAATTACCATCACATACTGAAAGAGGAGAAATTCTCTCTACTTTTACTTGTCTTGGTTGTTTTCATTGTTATTACTAAATGATTCAATGCTGCTTTGTCACAAAAGACTTTTTAGTAACTAACCTAGATGCAGACATATAAATTCCAGATGCTTGCGGACTTTAAAAAGCATGTGTATGGTAAGAGAGCTCTGCACAGCTAAGCAACAAAATATGTACTTGATTAAATCTAGAAGATCTGATTTTAGACATCCCTAGTTATAGTACTTTTATGCTTCTGCACATGGGCTTGCCAACATGTAAGAACCAAGGTTCACACGGATATAAATAAAGACTATTACCTAAGTTGGTTTATTTTTTTCAGACCTGGAAGGAGAAAACCAAGACTGGGATTTTAAGGCTTTCCCTGTAGAGGACTAAAAGAAAATAAACCAATAGATTCATTTCTAAACATAATCCAAATTCTGGTTCTTTCACAGTTAGTACATTGTACATCAGTCAATTCCCAACAAAAGGTGACAGAACATACCCCCTTAGCAATGAAACCTTGGTGCCCTAACAAGGTTAAAAAGACCTTTTTAAATCTCCATATGAGATTTCACCAGGGTGCTGTCTGTCTTTGCTGCCAACCACTAGTCTAGGATCACATCAATTTGCCCTTTTTCTGCTATATGTATTAGTCTTTGATATAATCTGAGGCCGAATATTTCCATATTAGCCCATCTCTGGTTTTAACCTGGGAAAATATCCTATTGGGCTGTCAAACAATGTTCAACTTCATATCAAATACATTTTGGGGGCTTCTGATTATTAATATAGGTAAATTTACTTTAAAGTGGATACAAAGCAATAATTATGAAGATTATTAGCAGAAGAAAGCAAAGCTGTTACCTTGATATGCAATATTGCCGTTCCTGGAGGATGAGCATCTGTTATTGATCTGAGAAGTTTTCCACTGGCCAAATCCCACATGGTGATCTATAAGACAACTAAGTGCTTTAAAAACAAATTTATTGCTGTTTTTTAGACTTAAGTATCCTGCATTCTGCTGAAATAATCTATTCCTTATCTATAAACATTGCAGGCAAAGAACTATAAAGTTAAAACATACCTGAAGGTTGCAGGTCCATTAAAGCATGGAGCCTTTTTTCCATCTTCAAACCCCTTATTCTGCCCAACCCACTTTAGATTTTTAAGTGTTATTCTTATACTCAGAGGTAAAAGAAACTTCTCTAGTAAGTCAATCTGTTTACCATTGGTAAAAATTATAGGAACAGCTTACTGCCAAACCAGCTAGTGATGCACACATCAGGAGATGGGAAAAACCCTAACCTAGTAACAGTTCAGAAGTGAAAACCAAGAAATACCAAAACAGTTATCAAGAAACACAGGCATTAAGAATCAAGAAAGCAGAACACAGTATATCTAAAGAGCAGCCACAATTACATACTATTATTCTAAGGAGATACATTTTATATATCACCCTGATTGGTTTATAAAATCTATATTAAAATAGACACATGACTTATAAAATTATAAAAATTATAGACTCTAGTTCGGTCAATAACAATTATTAAAAAATGTGAACAAGACAAGACTTGTTCAATGTGATGAGTAACCTTAGGTTACCTCTACAGGTGTATCATTTTATAACCTATTTTGGTCTTCAAAATATTGCTCTAAAGATATTAGTTTTCAAAACTTGATTTTAACATGATCTTATGGGTGAAAGAAAGTCTGTGCCTTACCTGTCCTTTAGCAAAGCCACAGAGCAGTCTTGAACAGTCATTGTTGATACTGAGGGCAGAGATGGCTCCATACTGACCTCCAACGCTAGTGCTCCCCAGGCAGAGTCGCAACGCTTGATTCTGATCTAAGGAAAACAGTTTGTAAAATCAAGCAAAAGAAATGGAAGACAGTGAATAGAGAAGTATACTATAGGAGTGTTTTCAAAGACTTGAGAAATGGTAAGAATCAAAAGACACAGATAATGAAGTTAATTTTCTAATTTTGATATTTAAAAATATATTTATTCAGCATCTACTAGGAGCTGGGCATTAATGAGACACTAAGATTGTAGAAACAGTAAGACCTACAGAAAAGGGTAGCACAAAACTTGAGAGTAATAAGAAAAAAATAGGGCTAAGGATATAGTTCAGTGGTAAGTGCACTTGCCTATTATATGCGAAGCTCTCGGTTTAATTCCCAGCATTGCAAAAAATAAGAAAAGATGATGTCTCTCCTTGAACAGACCAACTCTCTTTCAGCTGCCTCATTTCAGAATTATGTTTATAGCCATTTTTCAAGATGCAAGGTTATAGGGAATAGCACCTTCATTTAAAAGAGCTTTAAAACTTCAAAAATCAAAATGTGTTAATTTAAAATTTGATTGAAATTTACATTTATATTATCCATGAAAAGGTTTACTAGGCAAATTAACAGTGCAAGTAAAATTAGAGTAAACATTTAAACTACTCCAGAAAATTATTTCAAGAATAACATTTGATATGCTAAAAGCAAATAATTCAAATTTCTACTAGATTAAGTTCTTTAGGGCAAGGATCTTGCTTTAATCATCTCTGATTTTTCTAGGAGGCACTCGTTTATTAAATTTTATTATCTAATAATTAAAAGAAATTGCCCTAGGGCTTCTCCTAAGCAAAGCTTATTTTGTGTTCAATTTATGACTGTACCTACTTGAAAACAATGAAATTTAAAATGTTTAATATAAGCAGCATGCCTAAAATTAACTGTTTAGGAAAAAACAAAAACAAATGAAAAAGACACAATTCCTCTACAACCTAGAGTTCTCCTGACTCCCCCAGCACCTATGTGTGCCCCTTAACTATCTACATGCCATGGTAGTTTTGAGATGTGTCTTTCCTCCCCTAATAGAATATGATCCCACTAAGAGCTAAGACCACAAATGAATTCATACTCCCAGAATTCCTAGCTTAGTGCCTTTACTCAGGAATCTGACAGTCATTGGAATAGCTTTCACATTTGCAAATCTACCTTCTGTAAGAAATCTAGTTATCAGAAAGAACCTAAAGACATTCATTCTCAGGTACAGAGGCTATGAGAGATAAGTCTTTTGCCCATTCAAAGTGAATACCGTCAAAGTATTTTTTTTGAGCTCATAAACTGGATTTAAAAGCACCCACCCCCAGAAGAAATTCTGAAACAATAACTATGCTGTATCTGGTATACAGAAAGTACTCAATTTTTTTTTTTTTTTTTTTGGTACCGGGGATCAAACTCGGTTTCTTGCACTTGTGCAGCAGGCGGCGAAAACACTGAGCTAAATCCCCAGCCTGAAAGTATTCAATTTTTAAAAGTCTTCTTAGGTAAACATTCAAAAGGGAATAAACTCAAACATGGGAGGACTGACTGTTTAAAAGGTCATTATCTCTATTTCACATCTAGAATTATAAAATTACAAATTTTTTCCATATGCCCAGATTGGCCTCCCTCTAATTTTTCTTCTTTTCCTCAATTTAAGCAAAATTATTAAAATTTCTCTTTATTCTACAACTTATCTGACTCTAAAATGACATCATGGTTTTTGTTTTGTTTTTTTTTGGTACCGGGGATCGAACTCCAGTCCTTGCGCTTGCACAGCAGGCGGCAGAACCACTGAGCTAAATCCCCAGCCCAACATCATGTTTTATTTACCTCTACTGAAATTACCTCTCTTCAATAGTATTTTTTGTGATCCTTATAATGTCAAGGCCACCTTACATAGTTGGTGGGTTACGCACATACCTTAATTTGCAAACTGTCAAGCTATGATGATTGGGTAACAGTATTTTATATTTACCACTGCTTTGGATCACATGTATAAGTAACAGATGGATTGAAGAAGACAAAGACAGAGGCTGGTATGAAATCTCATTCAAGCCCCACAAAGAAGGCCCTTGGGTCCTAAGTGCCTGCCTTCCTGGAACAGAGTAGTAAACAAAAAGCATAGGGCTGAAATCCTTTGTACTTCTGCTTGAGGGTCAAAATTTACAGAGTTCAGACCCACCAATACATTCACTGCTGCTTTCTGATTTAACAAAGTTCATTCTTACATTAGATAATAGAAGTATTCTTGTAAGGTAGGAAAAACTTTGGCAGGAGAACTGAGAAGTATGATCAAATAAAGAATATGGGTACCATGAAGAAAGAGGAAACAGAAAAGAGTGACAGTGGGAAAAAGGAGGGAAGACAAAGGACATATCTTATGGTTAAACACCCAATCAAGGCTGTGTGGTTGTGCTTTCCTGACTATAGTTCCCACACATAAAAAACTACACAAGACAGGAAATTAAATTATCAACCTTCCTCACCCTTGAAATATGCATTAAATTTATATTTTACAGATCTGTGTCAATGAAAATATCCTCAATTTTTTTCTTGATTTTTACAATGTATTTGTAAAATACATTTATCTTTATAGTCTCCCTGTATGAAGTGGTATGGCTGTGAAACAAGACACTTGAAATTTAATCCCACTGCTACTCCTAGAGAGTTACAGGCAATGCAACTATATGTTTGGGTAATTTTAGGAATGCTACTTAATTTCTCTAAACCTCCCTATTTTCTTCTGTATAATGTAGAAAACAGATGACTTCATTGTGTTGCTAAAAGGAATAAATCAGTAAAGTAAGATGATACACAAAATAATCATTTAATGTCCCTTGAATATTATTAAATTTCACAAAACAAACTAACCTATAGATTAGATTTATACGTAATTTTTAAAGCAGCAAATGATGGTGGACAGGTGATGGTCTGTACATAAAATGTAATCGACTCTGCAAAGTTATCTTTTAATTCTCATTCTATCTTTTATCATTCTATCTTCACGGTATGTTAACAAACTTGCTATTATATAATTTAGACTAAATTCAGAAAGGGTAGAATTTCTGTGGAAAGAAGATGGCAGGTTTCTCCTACCAAAGTAACTACATATTCTGTAGTTCAGATAATTGTGGGCAATTCTGGGGGGAAGCATTTGGCTAAAACAGACACATCTTTAAAACACTTAAATCTTATTACATGGAAAGAACAAGAGGACCTGGACAGAAGCAGGAAAGATGGAAATGAGAGCTCCATCTAGCTGTTATTTACAAGTTCACATAAAATTACATTGGTTGACACTGTCCACCTAGTATTAAAAAAACTGGAGTGGATCCTTATGAAGCAGGTGACCCAGTGAGAAATATGAAATAAGATCATCACTTTTCCCTTGAACTTCGCAGAGTTCACAAAATGCTTAAACAACAAAAGACCTATGAAAAATCTGAAACTACTAAAAGGCACAAATGCAAGGGATTATTACGAATGACAATATAGTTTATGAAGGAAAGGAACTTGAAGACCAGGTATCACCAAAAGCTTATCTACTTGATGCTACAATGAGTTACATTTATTTCTTTTGTTAGTATGGGCTGAATATCCCTAATCTAAACCTTCAAAATCTGAAATGCTCCAAAATTCAAAACTTTTTAAATATCAAACTGACAGTCAAAAAGATTTTGATTATCGGGCCAGGGATTTAGCTCAGTGGTTCCACCGCCTGCCTTGCAAGCTAAGGACCCGAGTTTGATCCGCAGTACCAAAAAAACCCAAACAAACAAACAAAAAAAGATTTTGATTATGGAGCATTTGGATTTTGGATTAGGGATGTTCAACCTGTGAAGTCTACTTGAATATTCCAAAATCCCAAAACCTCCCAAATTGGACACATTTCTGGTCCCAAGCACTTTGGATAAAGGATACTCTTCTACCTAAGTATCTTTCAGAGTATACGTGGCCCAGGGTAGATCTCAGGACATTCTGGGCTTAAGAGTAATGTGCTAAATAGCAAAGAAATGCCACATATAATGGATAAAGTTTATAATTGTCCTAAAATCTTCAAGAATTTCTAAGTCTATATACCAAAAACAAGCCAGTCCACTATTTTTCATCCCTAGTTTGTTTTAATTAGTTCCAAAGACAATCATACAAGGAAACACCTATATCTCAGAAGGAATCAAATTTAACTATGTGTGAACTCTAATCTGCCGGTATTCATCATTCTTTAACACTATTCTTCTTATCTTTTATTATGTTAAAATATTCTCTAGGACCAAAGAAGAAAAATAAAGGAGATCTTATTAGGAAACATTTTTTACCAATGATTATAAAATACCAGTAGTATTTTTACCTGACCTGCATCTGACCAAGTCACAGGATAGAAGTTCTCACTCCCTCCATCGGGTCACTGATGGAGGACCAGAGCACCCTGAATGCCCTCGGCTAATGGGTCACTTTCTAGAAGGCTGATGCTTACTAAGAGGCAGGATGTTAATTTCTGTGCCTGTTCATGCCACTGGAATGTTATTGTACTTTAAAGACTTAAAAGTATATAAACCAATAAAACAGTGGAAGAGAAAGAGCTGTGGTTTCTATGAACACTAAGAGGATGTTTCAGAAAAATTGGTAAAAGTCAGTTGCTTTATAAAACTGTCATGAAATAGGGTGCTAACAAGATAACAGTAAAGGACTGAAGGAAAGTTTTGTTAAAATCTAGAATTTTGTGCTCATGGACTGATTCACAGGTGCCTAAATTTTACATGACCCATCATGAATAAAGTTTATGCCAAAATAGATGCTGTAGACCTCCTATTGGCACATATAAACTAAAAAAAAAAAAGGCTTGGGTTATATCAAGCGATCAGGAAAACATATTTTCAGTTAAAGCATTAAAGGTGTGTATTGTTTTTCACAAGTCTCTGTTTTAATCTTTCAATTAGCTATTTATATTTCTTTTATACAAGAGCACTGACTATAATTGGTAGTCTCTTTCAACACTGAAAAAGTCAAATTAAAAGAACCACTCATGCAAACCAAATTTACTATACCTTTTCCTTTTGAATCCATGAGGAAAAGATCAAAAGAGAGAAGAAAAGCAAGAAATCAGTTCAAAAGTTCAGAGAAAATGCAGATAAAAATTTAAGGGTATAAGTGGTAAACTTTAGTTATCTGTGGGAATGCTACTAAATTTGATTAACTGATGTATATTAAATGATGTTTAGCATTTATGATTATATCCAGGTATTGATACTGGAAAAAAGGCACAACATTCAAATGATAACACTGCAAGTAAATTCAGTTAGATAGAAATAAAACCCATTTTCAAAAAGATAATTACTCAAGTACACTCACAACCAAAAATAAATAAAAAGGAAAAGTATGGGTTTGGGGTTAGGCAAACGTTTTCATTAAGATTTGTACTTTTGAGGCTCTGTATAAAGTGAGAACCAAGATACACAAAAAATGTTATAAAATTCCATAAGAATAGGCACTATACATTAACATTAAGCTTACAATGATTACTATTTTAGTGACTCAGGCCTCTATTTCAAAGAAAATCTAGTGCTTAAACAAGTGTAGTTCTTCCTGTTACACTTTCTTCTATGGCCAACAAAGATATTTTTTAGAGATCAAATCTAACCCAGACCTCTAGTCTAGACACTTCGCAGTGTCTGCCATTTGTTCCTGTGCTCTCAGGCATATTTTAATCCATTTGTTAAAAAGCACTGTCCAAACATCTGCTTCCTACAAACAATAATGAATAAAATTTATGAGCTACACTCTTAAAGCCCAAAGCACAACTAGAATACCAAGATTCTTTCCAAAATGTTCACTTTGGCATACTTTCTTTTCCATGAAACAGTAATAAAAGATTACTATTTCATCGTATCTACAAGAAAGCTGCTGGGGAATCTAAAAAAAACAAGCACCAGGCCCAAGGAAATGAAGGAGACAGTATCAAAAGATAATGTATTATTCTCCCCTGTTAGTTTTTAAAGTATTCATTTTAATTTGCTTGCAGTAAGCTCTACATGGGTTTGATTATAAGCAGTCACATATTCTTACAACTTCTTGATAAGGAAGGGATGTTAAAGCAGACAGTTGAGGAAAACAGTACTAGTGAGTGGGAACAAAAAATATCAACATGCATTCTGCTGTCAGATACACATATGCATTACATTCTATCCTCTATCACCTTAGTTCTATTCTTTTCTTCATATCTTGGAATTTGCCTCCTTTACTCTCAGAACAGGGGATTACTCAGGAGAGTGAAAATACACTAATTTAGGATTCAGTAGCCTTTGACTCTGAACTCAGTTCTGTGTATGTCACTTAACCTCTCTTCAATCATCGCATGTGTGAAATAAAAAGACAACAAAAAGACTCTGTAAGATCATTTCCCAGGTCTATCAACCCAGCTCCACTTATGCCCTTATAGGAAACCAACCTGCCAAAACTTTTCTGAAAGGCAATTAAACAACACACATCAAATCTTTCGTTTTTATGTCCAAGCCCAAGAAATCCCACTTTTAGGAATTGTCCTAAGAAACTAATCATATGTACAAAAATGCAGAAACAAAGATGTTCATCACATTACTGTTAGAAACAACTTAGCAAACTTTCTTGGTAGAGGTGCATGCCTGTAATCCCAGCACTCTAGGAGGCTGAGGCAAGAGAAGCACAAGTTTGAGCCCAGCATAAGTAATTTAGGAACTTATGACACTCTGTCTCAAGGGGGGCAGGGCTGGTGATGTAGGTCAGTGTGAAGGCCCTGGGTCCAATCCCGAGAGAGGGTGGGGGGGTAACATAAATTCTTATGTGTGGAAATGGCAAGTAAATTTTGATGAATCCATTTAAAAGAATATTATATATCATTAAAATGATATTACAAATACATAATGAAAATCAGTTCACAAATTAACATGATCTCATTTGGCAACCCATACACATACATATGTACACACATAGAAAAAAAGACTATGAATCAGCCAGGTGTACTACAGTGTAATCCCACAATCCTTAGGAGACTGAGGCAGGAGGATCTCAAAGTCAAGGACAGTTTATACAACTTAGTGAAATCCTGTCTCAAAATAAAATTTAAAAAGTGTTGGAGCCAGGGATGTAGCTCAGTGGCACCGCACCTGCCTTGCAAGGACAAGGTCCAGAGTTTGATCCCCAGTACCAAAAAAAAAGTGCTGGGAATGTAGCCCAGTGCTAGAGTGCTTGCCTACCCTGTACAAGGCCTTCAACCTTCAACAATGAAGAAAAAAAAAAAAAGAAAGTAAAGAAAAAAGACCATATTACACAGAGCTGTTAAGGATTGTTTCTGGATAGTAAAATTAGGTATTTTATAATTTTATATCTTCAACTTTTTGTTCATCTATCTTTTCTAAAATTTCCTCTTTGCATATAGATCAACTATATAGTAGCAAAAATAGTATTATTTAAAGAATGAATTCTAAAGTTCTTTCAAAGAAATTGTTTTGTTTCTGATCCTCTGGTCTCCAAGCAATAAAATTCTATTATTTAAATCAATCACCTTTGAAAAGACTAGATATTACAATCTTATGTTAAATAAAGCTTTTGCCATGATAGAAAATTTATAAATAGAAAGCCAAACTGTACAATGGAAACTAGTTATCCACTCATACAGTAAATCAAGATGCAAGGCTCCACAGAGATCAAATTATGGTTCTGTTCAAGTAACCCTTAGCAAACATTCCTTTCTAAATAAAGTATCATCAGGTTTTCCATTTAAGAAAGATGCAAAAGACCTAAGATCTAGACAAGAACACAAAAAAGGACAGAAAAATATTATCTAATGGTTTTTAAATGAAAGAAGAAAACATTCTGCTCACCTACCAAATTCAAAAGCAAAGGACTAATGAAACTGATTATGTAGTCTCAAAGAGAAAATACAACTAATATCTACCATACAAATAAAAACTACTTATGTTCTCTTCTCAACCAAGAAAACTACATAATTATCGGCTAAAAATGTGTTCAGTTTAAAAGGGTTATGATAGAACCGAATTTTGGTCAGTAAGAGTCCTGGAAAATTACTCAGAATTCTGGGGAGTCCTTTTCCCTGAAGATCTTTTACAATACCAACTACTGAATTATCATTCAGAATTTTAAAATAAACACTACCATCAACTGAAAGTAGACAAGAGGACAAACCATTTTGTCCAGGTCTACAGAAAGCCAATAGATATGATACAAATTTATAAGAGAGAAAGATTTGCTATGAGTAGCAAAATGGAGCTGTGAGTCAAATAATTTTTAAATTTATGAATATATAAACAGGGTCTCACTATCTTGCCCAGGCTGGTCTTGAACTTGTGATCTTCCTGCCCTAGCCTCTTGAGTAGCTGGGATTTCAGGGATGTATCATCATACCCAGCAATTTTTAACTCTAAAATATTCACTGCTACTTTACACATTTTTCTGGTTTTGCTCAATAAAATGGAGTCTACTTTGTAAAATATGATTAAAGGGCATTATAAAACTCAAAAGGATTCTTAACAAGTATTTCTTTACAAGTAGGAAAGTACTTAGAAAATTTACCAAATATTAGAGCCAATCCATGAGATGTACCCACTGCTATCAGACTGGAAACTGCCTGAAACCAAAACGGAAAATTACATTTGAAGATATTACATTGAAGATCTTGAAATAATCAGAGTTAAATTTGCTGACCTGCCTTCCTTTAGGCACCGGATGACATACCAACTATTATAAACAAGAATTTCAACTAGGAGGCAAAACGGGAAATGAAACTCAGGACATTTTATTTCTGAGAATCCCTCTAAATTTACTCTAAGGGAAACACTATCAAAATATCATATGTTCAACATTATAGGAAAAAAAACATGCCACTTAGCTTCCTCTAAAGCAATTTAAAAAAAAAAAATCAGAGTCCAGACAAAGTACGAGGCACTTATTTGCCATCCAAGGGCTTCCTGCGAGATATGGGGAAGGAGTATACCAGAACTCTTGTCCAGTTTACTCACAGGAGCCAAAAGGCATCAGAAATGTTCAAAGCTCAGCCATTGACTGACTAATAAAAAAGCCACAGGAGGCAGCTGGAGGAAGATGAGAAAAGAGGGCATTAGTGTGCTTTCAATATCTCCCAGTTCTCCACAGATTTACTGTTTGGCAGGTTTGGCACTGGAGTCTAGAGCCGTTAAATGTACATTTACCACAAGGATTTCACTGAATGCTATTTTCCACTCCCTATAACAGAAGGGAGACCAGATCACATAGGAAGTAATTTACTTGAGAGGAGGTAATACCACTTATAAATAAACCTGGGAAACACTAATCCTGATTCCACTATCTGCTTCTCAAACAAAAGCCTAAAGAGTGACAAGAAATAAGAATGAAGGGCCGGGGATTTAGCTCAGTGGTTCTGCCACCTGCCTCGCAAGCGCAAGGACCGGAGTCTGATCCCTGGTACCAAAAAAAAAAAAAAAAAAAAAAGAATGAAAACATTCAAATGGGCAAATTTTAAACCTGATTCCTGAGAGTAAAATGACTTATGAATTTGCAATCATATAGTTTATGTAATAATTTTCAATACTGTAAGAATATTTTAAAATCCAATTAAATAAAAAGTTTACCTTCAAAAGGTTTAAAGTATACTTACAATTGCTGTAGGCAAGCCAGCATCTACTTTGTCCTAAAAAGAGTTAAAAAAAAATATGTATTTGAAAAGACAGTCTCATTTTAAAACAGAAAATAATACAAGGCTTTAAATATACTTTCATTCAAGTTGATTCAGGCAAGACATGGAACTTTCATTTTTGCCATCAACTAAGAAAAATTACAAAAGATGTATATATCATCAAAATAAAGGAGCATGAGAGTGGATCCTTTTCTTTTAGCAGTTGTTAACAGATGCTTCAAGAAGGATGCTGATTATAAGTGGAAATATAAAGAAAAAAGAGAGAAGAAAGAGGTCCTGTCTTCCACAATGTAATTAACTCTAAGTACTACAGAGACAACATGGTAGGCGTCAATGAAGATTTTAAAAAAAGGAAACATTGCTACCTCTGAGTAGAAGCTTCCTATGCAGCAGATTACCTACTAACCCCTACTTAAAATCCCAGGATGGTTTATTAGGCCCATTCTCAAGGCTAAGAGTAAAACACTAAGTGCTAGTTTTCTCCTTCTCAGTGAACTTGGGAAAGTCATCTAACTTTCCTGTGTGTCAGCATTCTCATTTGTTCAAAGAAAACGTAAACACTGTCCTACTTACCTCAGTTGTTCTGAGGATCAAATTAAATGTAAAAATATTGTATAAAGATAAGATCTATTTGCTACTTACATATTCATAGCTTTAAATAATCATGGCTTGCAGTGATGTAGCACTGTAGTAACAAGGAGCTTTCATACACATATTTTATAGTATTTGATTCTAAAACTTGGAGAGATAGACAGAAAGCCAGTATTATTCTGATTTTCCAGATTAAGAAATCAAGTTTCAAAGAAGCTAACTGACTTCCTCAAGGCTGTTCAGTAAATGGTAGAACTGTGTGCTTCCCAGGCCAAGCTTTTCATATCGCTCCTACACTTGTTCCATCCCTGTCAATGTGGCTGATTAGTCATCATACTATCTCAGAAGGGAGAATCTATTTACCAACTCAGAGCTTCCTGGATGCTAAAAACTTATGCCAGTGCACAGAAACATCAGAAAGAACTCACCAAGGCTGCTGGACACAATGATCTAAAGGGAAGCACTGTGTGTATGTACACACCTGCGTGTGTGAGTGAAGCATGCTAACACAATGCTTCACAATTAAGATGCATGCAATAAATATTTGATAAATGATTGATTTATACCCTGGACATGGAAAAAGAGGAATGAGACCGCAGATGAAAAACATAAACTAGATCCAAAATGGAACCTGAATAATGAAATCAAAAGTCACCTGACTGACTTCAAAAGCTAAAAAGCACAGATGTAGGAATCATTTTTGAGATTGCAGAATTTTAGTACTGGTGCTGCAACATCTTAGGGTAGTGGTTTTCAAAAGCCAGACTTCATTACAATCACCAGGGATGCCTATTAAAATGCAGAGCCCTATGCTACCCTGCTAGATTCCAAGTCAGCAGATCTGGGATGATCCCTAGGAACCTGCATTTTAATAGGCACCCCCCCCCCCCGCCCCGCAAGAGATTCTTTTGTATTTGTCACATTTCTAAAAAAGCACTGCACTAAGGTATCTGTACTATCTTAAGGTTAATCATTAAAATGATAAAAACCTTAAAAGGTTAATTTGACACATGTCATTATCACCTTGAGAAAAATTCCAAAGTTAAACAATGAGGTTCACAACTCCAAAAATTTCATCTCTCCTAAGTGTTTTTCATGCTTGGACTCCAAAGCGGTGATTAACAAGGTCATAAGAAGTCCTGATAACATAACTATCCATCAGGCTGAAGGCACTATTCAGAAGAAATATCCAAAAATGTAACTAGTTTTACAAGTTAATAAATCAACCATCACAGAAAAAGCATGCAGCTTAAATTGAGCTGGTAATCCAAAATTAGGAAGGCAGCATATGATGACTGTCACAGGAAAAGCAGTTTTCATTTTAACATACCAAAGGAGCTCAGCCATAGCAATGAAATAAGAACAGAATGCAAACACTCTGGCATTTATTAGAATTTTCCCCTCCTCTCAGAGAGGGCGGAGAAACCCTTTTAAATAACAGATTTATCTAATCATTGTTCAGTGTCTGAGTTTTAGTTCAGTCTCCATTATTCAAAATATTTTTAAAACTGCACAGGTGGGTCAAATGACTGTTCTGGTTCATCTTGATTTTGAAAGGAATGAATTTCATCACCTACATAAGGATTAAATTCAGAAAACGTCATGGAAATGTAATCCTCAACAGGTGGTTCCCATTCTGGCAAATATGAGTTACTCTCCACCTAGAAGAGGAAGGGCAATTGCCCAGCTTGCCTCGATTGCTTGACCATCTATTTAAACTGACTTCATGATACAGGAGCTGAGTCATATATCGGGTGCCCAGAATGAACACTTTTTTTTTTGTATGTGCAGTAAGAGCCTTCTCTGATTAACCTGAAATTACAATGCAATGTTGGTATCATGATGCCACTTCTGTGTAAACCTCTTGCCCTCTTGAAAAACCAAAACTTCTATTTTGATCTAAATGATATGACAAGTCAATATCATCTCTCTGAGCCTATCTTTTCATTTGTCAAATAGGGTGTGGCTTTACCTACTTGCAAAGTTGTAAGAATAAATAAGGTACATGAAAAGACTTGAGTCTTATAAAAAAAAAATCATTCAGAAAAGATTCTGATTAATCATTTCTGCATAAGAACAGACTAAAAAAAAAAAATTCGTCCTCAACCAAACACAGTGTTTCTTTTAGGCCACTGCCATATGTCATTTAGGCACACTCGAAAGAAACTCTGAGCAGACCTTTATTTTCATGGCTGCACTAATTTCTATGTCAGGATGTGTAGCCATGTCTTATGAGCTGAAAATAGTCACCCAAAAACCATGAAAGCCAGATTCTATTTTTCTTAAGCTTCGGGCCAAGAGAAGAGCTGTGCTTTGTTTTATGCTCATTCCTACTTCATTATGCCATTGCAGGTTATAAAGCTGGGGGAAAGAATAAAATACTTACAGCTGCAGACACTATCTGGGCAGAAATCCCCTTCAGAAGTGAATGCCGCATAACTGAGCCATGGAGTGAAAAAGAATCAGGTAATTTCTTCTTCCTAAAAACAAAAAAAAGAAATATGTTTAAGAAGCGATGGGAAAAACTAAGAAGGTAGGACCCCAATGCTTTGAGAGGAAAAACCACATAAAAATAAGAAAAGCAGAAAATAACACTGTGGTTTGTTAGTTCTGTTTTAAAAAGAGGTATAAGGCTGGGGACACACCTCAGTGGTAGAGTGCTTGCCTAGCATGCATGGTGCATTTGGTTCAATCCCCAGCACCAAATTTAAAAAAGAGAGACCAAGACAGAGAGACAGAGAAAGTATCTAACAGTTAAACATTAAGATGTGTACTAAACCTATCTTCCTATCTTGAACCTCAGAGAAGCACAGGCAGGAAAATGAATAAAGTCACCATTCCATGCCCACTGATTCAAACCCTTCTTAACTCACCTGACATAACAGCCCAAGTTCTATTGTTCTCCAGAGGGTAGCTACAGGTCACTCCTCTTGCCCTACGTGTCTGCATTACCTCCGCTTGCTTTCCTACCCCTGCCTGTCATCTTGCCCTCCTCCCGTCTTCAACCTTCCTAGTCTTCCAAGCACCGGGTCAATCTCCCACTCATTACTCTCTGCCGCTCCTAGTAATGGTTCTTTTCACTTTGCACTACTCATCATCTTTACCAAACATTTCTGAGTATCTTCTCTATATGACCACAAGTATGCTCTGGTGGTACAAAACTAAGAAAGTCACAGTTCCTACTGTCAAGGATCTTAGAACCTAGCTGGAGGGACTGATCAGTAATTCTTACAAGATAAATATTAGAATAGAAATATGAATACAGTAGTATGCAAATGCAAATGAGGAAGAGTATAATCCTGTTTATTTAGGGGTTATCAGGGATAGCCGTAGAAAAGAGATGTCTGATGTGGCCTGATGAATGACTAGCAAAATGAATGAATGATGAATGTCTGGCAAAAAGCATGAGCAGAAATGTGGAGATGGAAAGGAATATACTGTGCCTGGGGAACAGTGAGTACAAATAGGGATGGACTGGGCAGCAGGCATGGAAGTGCTCACAGATGAGCCCAAGGGTTCAGACTGATGTCACGTCTAGGACCTCTGACTTCATTACCTAGGCAACAAGACAGCACTACAAGTTTTAAGCTGATAGTGACTAGATCATCATAAACTCCTAAGTTACTTATTTGGAGGACTCGGTGATGAACAAGTGAACATATCTAACAACAGCACCTACCATTCCAGAGATGACAAGCTAAACAAGATAGCATTGGTATGGTAAAAATGAAGAAAAGGAAAACAAAGACATAGGTAACTTCATCAATTAAGGTTACACATGAATTCAATAAAGTGATTGCATTATTCTTCCTTCGCTTCTCTTTCCTTTTTATGTTCTCTCCAAGAATTTGGAGAGTGAAAAGTAGCCAAAATTGAAGTTATTTAGGGTTAGAAGTCTTTTTCCCAAAACTTTAATCACTGTGCTTCTCCTCTGAACCCACTCTAAAGGAGTGAAGTAATGGGAAGCTGACCTCGGAGAATGGGAGTGGGGAGTGTAGGAGACAGAGGGTGGCAAAGATGGACCACGCTGTTTCCACCACAGACACTATGTGTCATGTGTGACTTATGTTCCTTCTAAGGGCTCTACTGTTGCTGGGGGCCCTGGTGATTATTATGGCTTCCTACTGGGGGGTCTGAAGACAATAGTCACAACACCCACCTTTGCATCTTCTCTCCCAACAGTGCCAAAATCCTGAGGATCTAATCAGCACAGTGTTGCCACACATGCAGCCCTTCTACTTCTCATGCAGGGCTTCAACAGATCGTGCTGTACTGTACCAAGATACTGACATTTTGAATGATCAAATACTTCAACCATATGCAAGTGATTTACATGAATATTTACCTTTTTAGGTTGGTCCTGTCACCACTATCTGAGCTTGCCACAGATGAAGTATCATAGGAGTGTGAGTCAATGGTATCAATGTTTAACAATGTGGGATCCTCGAGAACAAAAGACTCATCTTCATCATCAGTCTAAATTGGAAAAAGGTACAATAATAAATTCAAGATGCTTTCAGTCAAGTCAGATAGACATAATGGGCTTCTCTAAAACATTCAAGTGCTTATTTCTGCTCTTCACCTCTATTCTATTCATTCTTATCCACCAGAGTCGCAGCACAGAATTAAATTTTAACTCTACATAGATATCACTCTCTACAAAGAGTTGATGCTAAAAACTTTTTTATGGAAGGAATCAGGAGAGGCAGTACAAATTGCTGTTAGCTGCAGAATATTTCTTAAAGTTCAAACCTGTACAGATGCTTTATTAGTTAATTAAAAGAAATGGCTAGTTACAAGAAAACAAGTATTACCAGACTATAAACAGTCTACTGTGAAAAATATAACAGGCAGGTAGAAAAAAAAGGCATTCTGGGTAGAAAACAGCATGTGTAGACACACTGATTTCATAACATGAAAGATAAGGTAGGACCTAAATTATAAAAAGCCATATATTTCATTAAGCCAGAAGGTAGCAAGGCCCATGTTTATCTTGTCCACCACTGTAGCCATCTTCCTAGTACACTGTCTGGAATGGAACATAATCACCAATTTAACGAATTAGTATACCATATGTAGTAGGTAGTGGGAAGACAACTGATAATTTCAAAAGTGGAAAGATATGATGGGAACTATGTCTTATAGTGATAATGGGGCAGTATGAAGAATGGACAGGGGTGAAGAGAAAAACTGAAGTAGAGGGATTAATGAGCACCAGAAAGAAGGCCACTCTAGGGAGATTATTAAGGCAAGAGAAGAGATTCCGGCCCACAAATGCAACATAAACCAATAGGGAATGATGAAAATGGCAATACAGAGATAAAATCAAAAGTCTCTTTAAATGAAGGGAAAAGGAGAGATGAAGGAAAAGCCAAAGATTTCCAAGGTTTCTGACTTGAGCAACTAGGCAAAAGATGATACCACTGATTGAGATAAGAAGGCACAGAAACAACAGACAGAGCAGGATGAGGAGCAGGCTGTGTACAAGCTGAATCTGACTGAGAGACATTAAAGAAGAATGTCCTGATCCTCCTTTCTCTTGCAGCTGGACTACCTTCTGCTTTACATCTTCAATCAATGTTTTTGAGAGAATAAATAACCTATGCTCATTTCCATTTTCACTCATTCCAATCTACTATTAGAGACTAGCCAAATCCACTGCCTACTTTCGATTAGTATTCTCTTGTCCTCCACATATCATTTAACACTGCTGAGCATTCCCTGCTTCATGAAACTTGCTTTCCTCTTCATCTGACTGATCTTGATCCTCCCCTAAGATCTCTTTCCTAGTTCTCCAATTTATATGGACTTTTGTGATCATGTTCTCTAGCTTCTACCCAGCCAAACTTTAAAGCTGTTTTCCCCAGGATTATATTTTCAGCTGTCTTCCTGCTTCATACATTTGCTATTTGATCAAACTCACCAATATCTATAGCTTTTAGTACTACGTCACATGAATGACTCTGAAATCTGTGTCTTCAGCATCAACATTTCTCTTGAGGTTTTGGTCTGTATTTACAACAGCTTTTCTGATATCTACAAGTATATTAAGAACAGGGTTAGCACTGGCAAGGAGATACTGTTACTTGAGAGCTGTAAAAGATTGGAACAATTGTTATAGGAAAGAGAAAAGAAATAATTCAGAAATAAGAACTGCAGCACCAAGATCTTAAGCAAGAGAGACTATCAAAACCTTAACTGATTTTCTTAAGCAGCCTGGGGACATAAAGGAAGTAGATCAGCTAAGTTAACCCAGGGCTACAGGATAAGCGAAAGAAAAAGTGGAGAAAAGAGAATTAAGGATGTTAAGACTGAATTTAAAAGTACTGCCACACAACGGAGGTATCAATTTCCCCCAAACTGATATGTAAAATCTACACAATCTTATCAAATTTCAGTTGATTTGTGTGTGTCTATGTGTGTAAACCAATACTTAATTCTAAAATTTACATGGAAATATAAAAGACCAAGAATAAGCAAGGCAATCCAAAAGACAACAACAAAGCTGGAAGATTTGAAACTACCAGACACCAAGAACTATTATAAAGGTTTAACTATGAGAATGTGCTATTGGGGCAAGTTTAAGACAGACTGGTAGAATCAGATCCACACATATATGTACATGGGATTTACAACAAAAGCAACATCCCAGACGAGAATATCCCTTTCAGTAAATGGTATCTAGCACATACACACACGTACACACACAGAGACACACATACACCCTCCAAATCAATCACAGATCTAAATGAGAAGGGTAAAACAATAAAAATTTTTAGAACAAAATATGATAATATCATCATGACCTTGGAACTGGAAAATTTTAAGATACACAAAAAACCATGACAGAAAAATTTAGTAAGTTGAACTATATTAAGAACTATTCACCACCCCGGAAGAGCTGGTCCCAGAGTCTGTGGAGCCAGACGTGGTTTGCTCCAGAGAATAAGCTGAGTACCAAAGAACCCAAGATTAGCGTTTCTTCAGACAATGCAGTGATAGTGCTGGCCAAATCTTCAGGGAGCCTTGGACATTGGTGAGAGTGGTTTTACGGTTTAAACAGCTGTTCTTTGGAGGAAAGGTTATTTGTCAGTGAAGAAAATGTTAATGAGTTTCTTGAAGAGGTCCTGAACCCTCCATTCAAACAGACAGTGCTCCCAACCCCACCATAAATTGAAGTTCTTCAGGTTACTGATGAGAAGATTCAAATTCATGCAAAGTTACAAGAATGTAGTAATCCTGATCAGCTTCAAGGAAAGGAAAAAAGAATCAATGAAGGATGTCCTCTAACTGAAAATGAAAACATAGAACATCTTACCACTTCTACAATTGATTCTGATTCATCTATAGCAATTAAAGCACCAGAAATACATATATGTGGTTCAGTTGCAGGCTTTCAGCAAGAGCCTCTTGATGTTTCTCAGATGCAACTAGGAAAATCTCAGCCACCTGAGGCAAAAATGGAACCTCAATTTGTAAAAGAAAAAAGTGCTACTTATTCAAATGAGGAAGATAATTTAAAGGAACCGGTCAAAACTGAAGAAAAACAGTTAGATGGAGGTCACCAATCCTCATCACTGAACAAAACTATAATTCACAATACAACTGATTTTGATAGCATAAAAGAAATCAATATGCAGGATGGCAGTGTCCAGATTATTAAAGATCATGTGACTCATTGTGCATTCAGTTTTCAGAATTCTTTGCTGTATGATTTGGATTAATTCAATGTAATTTTGGAATCTGAATGTTAAAAGTAAAAAATTGGGGGATCTAAAATAGTTTAACTATTAAAACTAAAGCTATTCAACAAAATATAAATTTTAATTCCAGTGGGAAAACTGGAGATATTTTTCTTTAGAATTTAAACAAAGTTTCCTGAATTATAGAAATATTAGTTTTGTGATTCCTCTGATAGAGGTTTTTTCCTAATGGAGAAGAAAACATTTAAAAAAAAAAAAAAGAACTATTCACACACACAAAAAAAACCATTAGTAGAATAAAAGGTATCTTAGGGAACAAAAGAAGGTATTTGTAATAAATATACCTAATAAAGAAAGACCTGTGGCAGCATATATAAAGAACTTTTATAAATCACTTCCTTAAAAATAAAAACAGAGTTAAGTAAACTAAAGACATGAAAAGATAATTCACAAAACAGATATCCAAATGGCCAAAACATGTCAAGGTGCCAACTTCATGAGTCTTCAGGGAAATTCAAACTAAAACCATGATGTGATACTACTATATACCTGTTGTACCCAGTGAGAGAGAACCAACCAGAGACCCATATGAAATCCACACAGGAGTTTACTACTGGCCGGGACCCGAGCAGAGCATCGGACTTGAGCCTCGACTGGGGGTTGACAAACATGTTTTATACGCCTTTGAGGCCAACAGTTCCTAGGCCCCCCTATGGGATAGAACTAGTAAAGCAAGCAAAAGGTACAGAAGCGGAACGTCCTGCTGTTAGAACATCTGTAAAACAATAGTTGATTAATTGTTGTTTCTAAGAGACTCTCTAAGGGGAGGAGGTTTCTAAGCTTCCTCCTTCTGAGTTCATCTAAAGGGCAGGCAGGTGGGTCAAGCTGCAATATAGAGTCTGTCTTACTAACAAGGGTCCTTCATACCTATGAGCATGAAAGACCAAAATGAAAAAAGAGAAAAATTCAAATGTTAAGAAGTATATAAGTAACTAGGACTCTCATATTTTGCTCCTGGGGGCATATGTTAATAGCAACCACTTTGAAAAACCATGGCTGTATTCACAAAAGCTAAATATAATCAAACCTGATCACTCAGCAATTCTACTCTTGGGCATACACCCCAAAAAATGTGTGTGCACATGTGTGAATACCAAGATGTGAATACCAAAAGAAGTAAATAAGAATATTCTCCACAGCATTCTTCACAATAGCCAGAAAGTGGAAACTACACAAATGTCTATCAACAACAGAATCAATAAATATGTATATATTAGTTGCAGCAATGGAAATGAATAAACAAAAATATAGAGAGGTCTAAAAACAAATATTGAGGACAATAAGTCAGACACAGAAGAATACCTATTCCGTGTACACTGACAAAAGCAGACAATTGAACCAGGCCTAGTAGAATGTAGAATAGTAATTATTCTGAGGCTGGGTGTGGAAGAGACACAAGAGGTGGTTCTGGGGTATTAGTAAGATTAGCTTCTTCTGGATTCTACTTATACAAGTTGTTCAGACTGTGAAAATTCACTGTGCTGTACTCTTGTGGCTTGTGCACCTTTCTGTGTGCGTGTTATACTTCGACAGAAGAGTTCCAAAGACATTCCTTACACAATCCAATAGTGAGACTGAAGTAAACACAGGCTATGCAGAAGCTAGGAGACTGGAAGGATTGAGAGATTTGGTCTTCATGAAGGCAAAGAATAAGTTTAATGAAGTAAAGGGGGGGTGCTATGGGTAGAGAATGGAATTTCAAAATTAAAAACTTCAAAGGCAGCATCATTTCAAAGAACAACAAGGCCTTGTAATAGTATTCCATGCTCTAAGTTCTGAGATCTCGGATGTCTCAGTAATTTCTAGCTTTCCCTTTCCTTTTAAATGTCTTGATTATCCATTTCTTCCCAGCCTTCCTTCAGGCTGATATTAATAAACATTATAGAATACATGCACCCACATAGCCTGGAGCAAGGGCTTATTTACACATCTGAGCTTTTTTTTAAAATCATTTTCTTTAATAGTGCCCCCTTCTTACAGTTTTCATTAATGGTCTACAACTAAAATTATTTTTTCTTTCACCTATCTACTTGCCTAGTTCCCTGGAGGTATAAAGGCTGGACAATTTCCAGTTGCATTTCCCTCTCAAAGACTGAGACAGTCATTCATTTAGCATTTTATAATGCCAGCACCTAACAACATAAGCCAAATATACAAGGCACCAAATATACTGGGAATAACAGTATTATCTTCTTGATAAACCAATAATGACAAGACTTACTGCTATTCAGAGATAAGAAAGCTGTTCAAGAACAGTCTTCCTTCATTACAAACCACAGTCCCATTACATGAGCGTTATTTTCTGTACCAAGATTACATAAAGATGTACAAATAGAACTTCACACATAGTCTTCTGGGATTGTTTTTATTTCACACTTAGTAAGATAATTGAAATAAGGATGTGGTTAAGACTATGTTAATAAAAGTGACTAAAATTAACCTCTTCACTTCTGAATGAAATCTTTTCTCTATACTAGAAAGTAATAAAGGTCATTTCACAATAATATAATACTCTCAGGGCCCAATATCACCTCTCAAAACTAAAAATGCTTCAGCCTTAACACAGATCACACAGAACATTTTTGAAGTTAAAATACTATATTCAAAGTGACAGTAATATCAAACTGATACAAAAAACAGAAATCATAGCCAGGGAAGAAAAATGAAAGACACAATTCATAGAAAAAGTAGTTTACATCTTAGAAAGCATTGCTTACAACCCTAAAAGTGTAGGTAAAGAACAAAAGCCAGGCTCACTCAGGGTCACAGCATCAGTGGGCATTTCTGTCCCGGACCTTTGCAGTCTTATCTTTTGGGAAACAAAATAACAGATTTGGAATAGATTTATACATAAAAAGTCTTTCTCAAATTAGAGGCTGAAACCTCCAAGAAAAGTCTTAAGCAAATTTTCAAAAGGTCAAAAAGACTGAAGTGAAGAGCTGTCGGCAGCATACAGAGACTGGCATACTGCACCAACTGCGGTACTCCCCCAGAGTTCCTTTTGATCTGCTGATTCACAAAAGAGTAACACTGTTTCAAAGCTGAAAAACTTTTCACTAGAGATAGTATTCATAAGACAAATAGTGGGGGTTTGGTTTCCTTCATGTAGAAAAATGAAGAAGCTCATTATACGGTTGCAAGATGCTCTTTAGTTTCAAAGGATGAGCTGTCTGAACATCACTGGTAGAGATAACTAATCATTATCAACACATAATTACAAATCTCAAAAGTGACATGAATTTAGTATTTCAATTCACTTAAAACATATGTATTGAATCCAAGGAACTGAATCCAAGGTTTCATACATGCTAAACACACTCTACTACTAAGCTTCACCCCCAGCCCTAATTTTTTAAGTCTGCTAAGGATTAGGCATTATGCTGGCCACAGAGACTCTAAAGATGGATAAGACATGGCTTCTGCCTGTGTGAAGCTCACAATCCAGACCAGTGCTGTCCAACAGAACTTTCTGCAGTGATGGAAATATCTGGTATCTATACCTCCCACTATAGTAGACACCAGCTCCATGAGGCTATTAAGCATCTGAGATGTGACTTATGCTGATGACAAATTTAATTTTTATTTAATTATAATTAATTTAAACTTTAAATCAACACATGTCACTAGCGGCTACCATACTGGAAAGTGTATATGTAGCTATATACAACTAACCCAAAAGTATTAAAAATCAATGTCACAAAACGATAATGATCATTAATATTTACTTACTTCATTTAGTATGCTTTCCAGTGTTGGAGGAGTGTCAACTTGAGGAATATCAAACTCCTTGTCATCAATCTAACAAAGAAAAGAAATTAATCCCCACAATATAATGCCATTCCCCTTAAAATTATAAGGATGTTTTAACGAAATATCAATTATAAGACAACCTTATCATGAAATTGATCTAGCAGTCAACTCAGCAATCCATGATGATAAGAGTCAGAGCAAAAGACTAGAATTGTTACCTTTCCTATCCATGCATTTGTTGACTACTGACAACATGTATGCACCTGGGCCGGGGATTTAGCTCAGTGGTGCCGGTGCCTGCCTCAAAAGTGCAAGGTCTTTAGTTCGATTCCCAGTACAAAAAAAAAAACATGTATGCACTGGACAGCATTATCAGATGACACTTCCCAAATAACTTCTATTCAAGGACTTTTCTATCAGCTTTCTTCAATGTGACAAAATAGCACATCTTATGACAACCCCAATCTCCTAAATTTAGAGCTAAGTCATAAGTGATATGCCAATGTCTGATATCACAGTTTTTAGTTATTTCATAAATTATAGTGAGATAATTAGGTCAAAGAACTTGTTAATAAATACAGTCACAGAAACTCATTAATATAATACTTAGTCACTGGGGAAAGTTGCTGTGTGAGATAAGAATTTTAAACCTTGAGAAGTCATTGAACACAGCTGCACACAAGTATCTTCATCTATAAAATGGATTATCACAGTATTCTAAATGCTGTGAAGCTCAACTGACAACATGAATCAAAGGGTTCCATAAACTGTAATGGACTACACAAACGAAGAGTGACATATCTCATAAAACTGTACATAGACTCCTACTAACCCATACACAAATAATAGGCTGAGAGTGTTTGGATCATAAAATGCACTATAACCAAAACTTCAGTTAAAATTCATCACTTGACAAAAGCTGAAGTTTTACCAAATCATTTCTGAACTCCAACTCCTTGTCCAGATCTATGTAAGAGAATTTTGACAATGAAGCTTCTAGATTAAAAGATTTATTCAGTTCTTCTTCAGTAGTAGTCTTGACACAGAGATTCTGTTCCACATTGTCTTGGTCTGGTTCATTTTCCATATTTGTTTTTAACAACTGTATTCAACCAATCCAAGCACGTGTTTGTCTTGTTTTTGGCCTTAGATCACAATGATTTGAATGACGATCTCTTTAAAAGAAAAGAAGACAAAGAAAAGTATCATTTAGATTTTCTTTTATCAATGGGACATTCTAAAACCTACTTGGTCAGATTTCACTTGGTTGTCTGGTTATAGACAAAGAAAAATTGATAGTAGGACACAAGGTAGTCATGAAACTGCTGGTAATGACAGTCATGAAACACAGGCTTGACCACCAGACTTGGTTCCAGCTAGATTTATGTACCTAACAACATGAGGATAAATTGGTGCCAAAGGCTGCAATAAAGCAATTAACCCCTTCCTTACCTTCCCAAACCTCAGGGTAGCTCTCTAGTTCCCCTGGAAAGAAGCACATACAACAGCTTTGCTGCTGGCACTCACTTGGGGACACAGATGCCTCAGGAGCTTAATTTAGACACCACTAGTAGGTAATTAGTTATTTAATACAACACCAACAAACCTAAGGTTCAGTCTATTAGAAAAGAAAACAAGGACCCAAGGATAAAATAATTACATAGCCTATAAGTGATTTCTAGAAGAAAGCCAGTCACAGAAAAACAGACATTTTCAGAGAAAAATGAAATACTGAAAAAACCAGAAACTATATTTTTGTATATTTCACAGCTCTAAAGAGTAGAACCCCATGTTCTATCAAAAAATGGATAATTTGATATACTTGTAAAACTGTTATTTCTAAAAAAACTAAAAAAATATATTTTTAAATTCTTATATATTTAATAAATAAATTTGCTCTCTAATGTTTTTAGATAGTGTTTCAATTAGGCTACAAGTGGCTAGTTTTTTAAAATCCACTTCATTTTGCCTTTAGAATAATGTAAAAATAGGAAAACAGAAACAATGTCATAAGAACACTGATAATAAAAATAAAAGTCATTTTGTTCCCAGACTAGGTGTTTTCTGTAGTACAGTATTCTCCTCTCATCTATGGTTTCACTTTCCATGGTTTCAGTTATCAGAGGTCAGTCACGATCTGAAAACATTAAATGAAATATTCCAGAAATAAAAAATGCGTAACTTTAGCCTGTGCTCTGTTCTGGGTAGTGTGATGACATCTGGTACCATCCTCCTCCATCCCACCGGAAAGGTGAATCACCCTGTCCAGTGTATCCACACTGGATATGCTACCTGCCCACTAGTCACTGACTAGACATACTGGTGATCTGATCGACTACCATGGTATTGCAGTGCTTCTATTCAAGTAACCCACATTTCACTCAATAATGGTCCGCAAAAGGCAAGAGTAGTGGTCCTGGCAATTTAGAGATGTGAAAGAGAAGCCATAAAGTGCTTCCTTTAAATGAAAGGTAAAAGTTTACCTTTAATGAAAAGGTAAAAGTTCTTGACTTAATAAGGAAAGAAAAAAATCGTATGTCAAGGTTGCTAAGATCTATGGTCAGAATGAATCTTTTACGTATGAAAGTGAAAAATGAAAAAGAAATTTGTGCTAGTTTTACTGTTAAATCTCAAAAGGCAAAAGTGTGATAAATTATTCACCTCATTTCACCTCACCATATAAGCACTGTATTAAATCACATCATTATAAGAAGGGTTAATTAAGTACAGTATAATACAATATGATATTTAAAGAGAGATAATACAACTTTTATTATAGTATATTTTTCTAATTGTCCCATTTTATTATTGTTGTTGTCAACCTCTCGCTGTGCCTAATGTATAAATTAAACTTTACCATGAATATATATTTTAAAACATTTTATACAGATTTGGTCCTCCATATCCATGGGTTCCACATTCATCAAATCAACCAACCATCTTTTTTGAGATGGAAAATACTCAAAAAATTGCATCTGCAATAAACATATACAGACTTTTTCACTTTGTCATTATTCCCTAAACAATACACCACAACTATTTACAAAGCATTTACATTGTATTAGGCATTATAAGTAATCTAGAGATGATTTAAACATATACATGAGAATGTGAATAAGGTTATATATCCAAAGATTATGCTACTTTACATAAAGGACTTAAATGTCTGCAGAATTTGGAATTATCAGAGGATCCTGGAACCAAATGGACGTGGATGCTGATAGTCACTTGTATAAGGTTTGGTACTACTGGCAGTTTCAGGCATCAACTGGGGGTCTTACGTGAGGACTACTGTACCACACAACTAGCAATTCTCAGTGTGAAGGTTTTTCAAACCACACACCACCCTCAGGGGTACAAACACTACTACTACTACTACTACCATTACTACTATGAACCCTCGGCCCCACAGTGGAACTTATTTTTACTATTATTCCATAGTGACCTGAAAGAAGAAAAAAAGGCAAAGCCATTGGGCTAGCTTAATTTTTTAAAAGCAAACTGATTATATGATTTTAAGCAATATGCCTAAAACTAACAATTTAATCCACAGAAACTCATTTTTCAGTACCTATAATTAATTTTACTTCCTTCAATGTTTCATTTTTATCACATTAAAAAAATGAATAGGTACTACGTGTAAAACGTGTGAGCTCAAACTTTTCTAGCACATTTGGTACATTACCAATGCAGGCTAGTTTCTTTCACATAGTACAGGAAATAGTCCCTAATTTTCTGTCCTCTAGAAAACGTACTATCAAGTATGTTCATATAAGACATAACTGAGAACACATTGTACCTGGCAACATTTGAAAGTATCTTTCCAATGTCAGGTATTAAATGTACTACTTCTTTGCAATGAGCCAAATGCAGCAGAGGTAATAGCATTTATATTCCTTTCTTCAAAAAAGACTGAACTACCTCATGAAAAATTATTTGTAATAGTCTTTCACTATTATTTGTACCACTAAGCAAAATTTGCTACAATTATTCAAGGAATATTTACAAACATGTATAATCCAATTCATATTCAATGGTTTCTGTGGATGATTTTTATTCTTGTTTTTTAAATAGTAGAAAAGGCCATATCCAAAAAAGAAACCTTTTATTTAAATAATTTAATCATCTAAAATGTTTCATACTTCATATATTTGTCTTTTCAAAATAACTCAGAAATGAAACCAAAAACTTTTTTATCTCCTCTCTGGAGTTAAGAGGCTCCAAGAGGAGGCTCCCCACGACCATTCCATGGCTCGCTCCTAGGGCAGAGGAGGTGAGCCAATCCCAGCAGCCGGAAGGAAGCTCCCCCGATGCCATTCCATGCTCCTAGGGCAGAGAAGGTGAGCCACATGGGCTCCAGAAGCAGCCCCCACCCACCCACCGCAGAAATGAGAAGACACATAAACAAGCCTCAAAAACAGACTTCTGGATCACCTACAGCAACCCCAAAGGGAAACGAGATGGAACAATCTGATACTC